CTCATGCCTTGTAATCGTAAGTGTCCAATTAGTCTCTAACTTGGTTGGATCATCAAGTAAATCTCCCGTAAAGTTGGTGAGTTTGGACTTAGGATCCATGGGATAAAGAGTATGTTTAGATGCTAACAAACCCGTGTCTTCAAGTAACTCAAGTGCATACTGGCTTTGAGACAGAAACATGCAAGACATGGATCTAGCCACTTCAAGACCCAAGAAATGCCTTAGTTGGCCTAAATCTGTAAGCCTAAATTAAGCATTGAGGTATAGCTTAACTGCATTAATTTCATCCCAAGAAGCCCCTGTAAGGACGATATCATCCACCTAGACATGTAAGACAACATAGGAAGAGGAAGATCCTTTATAAAATAGAGAATAATATGTAACACCCTCATTTTCCTTCAAGAGAGTCGTTACGTAATCTAAAACATTTTCCTTAATAGATACGCCAAAATAGTGGCTAAATTAAAACCATTTAAACTATTACAGCGGAARTCTTTGAATCRTCCAARTTTAACTTAAGTTCTAACCCACTTTCTCTTGGGGTTAAGTTACAAAAGATCATTACAGCGCAACTAGTCAAAAGACTRTAAAATAGATAAAAATGAGCAACTCTCTAAGCATGTCCTTTGCCTTTATCCGTCCTCGAACTACCTGGGCCTGRGATGCATACTCTAGTCAGCTTATAAAGCTCAATGAGTTCATGGTTTTCGTGTGTAAAGATTATTGCACATCGCACATTTCAACTTGTAAACTTTGTATTAAATAACATGCATTTTCTGATAAACACGTTATACTGAACAAGGATGAGATCTCCCGATTTGATTGTCGGGTAAGAGTTGTTTAGTCACTGGCATTCCCTGAGTTGTCCGGCCAGCATCTGCCTGGACACTCATTACGGGGTCGTTCCACTTGTCGTGTGTGAGTCATTTAGTCACTGGCATTCCCTGAGTTATTCGGCCTGCATCCGCTTAGACACTCATTACGGGGTCGTGCCACTTGTCATGTGTGAGTCATTTAGTCACTGGCATTCCCTGAGTTGTCCGGGCTGCATCCGGCTAGACACTCATTACGGGGTCGTGCTACTTGTCATGTGACTTCCTGGTCAAATGCTCACCCGCTAAAACTGGTCATAAACTTTTATCATGGAATAGCATGCTAGAGTTATTCGAAAACTGATTAAACACATAACATGCAACTGATCATAAAAACGTCGTACATGTAAAAACATATCATGTATGTAAACTGAAACATCATGCACTTGTACCATCGTCATATAAATCGTATAGTGCTTGAAAATATATTTATACATAGGTATGCATCCCATTGTAAGTCTCATGAAGACTCACCTGATAACGTCGATTGCTTACTTAACGGTGCTGACTGGTACCCTACAATTAATAATAGCGAATAATACATAAATGATATATTCCTCCAAGGACTATAAAAGTCAACTCACGGTCAACTATCTGCTTGCTATTCTATATGTCTTATCAAGCCATCGGGACTAAGGATGAAACTCTAAGGCTACTTCTGTGCTAAGTCTTGGAGAGGACCAGAGCCTCTATGGTATCGACCAGCCCCTCTGTGGTCTCTCTCACAGAGCTATGGTCTCACAACCAGAGCCTCTGTGGTATCGACCAACCCCTCTGTGGTCTCTCTCTCACAGAGCTATGGTCTCACAACCAGAGCCTCTGTGGTATTGACCAGAGCCTCTGTGGTTGGAGCCTTAGAAAATTTGGTACTAAGAACCAGAGCCTCTGTGTCTATCGACAGAGCCTCTGTGACTTAACTAAAATTATTTTATTAAGAGTCCAGAGTCCCTCTRTGGTTTCTTCCAGAGCATGTCTTAAACAACTTGATACAGAGCTCTCATGTAGAGTTTTCTGTATAACGTAACTTGGTACGAAGCTCTCTTGCAGAGCTTCTGGCTAACATGACACAAAGCCCTCATACAGAGCTTCTATCTAACACGCYTGACACAKAACTCTCATGYAGGGCTTCTGTGTAACATTATCTAAGGTGGCTTCTAAGTAGAATGTGATAYAGCGTGTTTAACAACWGAAATCTTATCCTYGAAATCGAACCTTAAGACACAAGGTTTGGGCGTGAGCCTTCTAGGGTTCTATGCAGGACCAAAGTCATAGCTAGACATTTTATTAACATAAAATTTGGTCGAGTATTTACCTCTAAACGACGAGAAGMAGGGGGGTTTCTTGCTGGGTCTTGAACTCCGTTTTCTCACTCTCAAGCTCGACGATCTCCTTCACCTTTTCAAAGAGTAACGACTTCAAGCCAGTGCCCATGATTTATACTCAAAGGGTTTGGCCTATTAKTTGACCAAATCAGCCAAATCCCGAGTTTTGGGCTGTGAAACTGTCTTCTCCACARCCTGCAACCATGCAGGTCGCAGTTTCCTTAATTGGGCCAGGCATTGCCTGTGCCTCTGCTGCCCCTCCCAAGCTGACAGCAGGCTCCCCCCTCTAATTGGAGCCTTCAGCCCTTAGCCGTAAGTAAAAGAAAATAAATTTAACTTATTTTTAATTTCTAATTTTTAATTTACATATATATATATATATATATGTATAATCACAAATGAAATAGAAATAATAATTAAGAGGCATTATTTTATTTCCTCGAAATTTTTGGGCTTTACAACTCTCCCCTCCTTCATAAAATTTCGTCCTCGGAATTAACACTTGCTAAAACAATTGGGGATACTTAGATCTCATTTCTTCTTCGGGCTCCCACGTCATTTCTGCRYCTTTATGGAATCTCCACTTAACCAACACCAATGGTATACTTTTGTTTCTCAGTCTTTTCGTCTTTCTATCCATGATACTGATTGGCTCTTCCACATAAACGAGTTTGTCGTTAACCTCGATGTCTTCTAAATCCACAACAGTTGTTCCGTCAGCTAAACAATTTCTCAAGTTTGACACATGAAAGGTGTTGTGAATATCATTTAATTCTTCTGGTAGTTTCAACCGATAGGCAACTGCTCCTACTCTTGCAGTTATCTCAAATGGTCCGATATACCTTGGAATTCGAAAGGTCGACGTCTTCTATCCGCATAACTCTTTTGTCTATCTTGCGCAACCTTCAGCCTTTCCCTGATTTGTACGATTTTATCAGATGTCTATTGGACTAACTCGGGTCCAGCTAGTTGCCTTTCTCCAATGTCTGCCCAACAAATTGGAGTTCTACACTTACGGCCATATAACGCTTCAAAAGGCGCCGCCTTGATACTCGAATGATAACTGTTGTTATAAGCAAATTCTACCAATGGAAGGTGGTTGTCCCAACTTCCTCCAAAGTCAATCACACAAGCTCTCAACATATCTTCTAGTGTTTGTATTGTCCTCTCACTCTGGCCATCCGTTTGAGGATGATATGCAGTACTCATGTTCAACCGTGTTCCCATCTCTTGCTGAAAACTTGACCAAAATCTCGAAGTAAACCTAGCATCTCTATCTGAGACAATGGAGATTGGCACCCCATGTCTTGACACGATTTCATTGACATAGAGTTGGGCCAATCTTTCTAATGTATACTTGTCGCTGATCGGCAAGAAATGAGCGGATTTTGTTAGTCGGTCCACAATCACCCATACGACATCGTGTCCCTTTACCGTTCTTGGGAGTTTGGTGACGAAATCCATCGTGATCATATCCCACTTCCATACTGGGATCTCCATTTGTTGCAACATTACAGATGGTTTTTRATGCTCGGTCTTCACTTTCAAGCACGTCAGACATTTCCCCATGTAGCTAGCTACTGTCCTTTTCATGCCAGGCCACCAATAGCTTTCCTTTATGTTCTTGTACATCTTATTGCTTCCTGGGTGCTTAGTGTATTTGGACTTATGTGCTTCATCCATCACTACATTTCTTAGATCTCCCAAGCCAGGAATCCAAATCCGATTCCCATGTCTATATATTTGATCTGGTCCAGCTGTCAAAGTCTTGATTTGTCCAATCATTCTCTCCTTTCTGATGTTTATTTCGAGTAAAGCCTTCTTTTGGACATCCCGTATTTGGTCTAGAAGTTCCACCTTAACACTCATCCACATGGATCGAACCCTGATTGGTTCATTTCTCTCCTTCCTACTAAGTGAATCGGCAACTACATTTGCCTTACCTGGATGGTAGTGAATCTCGCAATCATAATCCTTAAGTAGTTCCATCCACCTTCTTTGTCTCATATTTAGCTCCTTTTGATCAAACAAGTACTTAAGACTCTTATGATCGGTGTAGATCATACACTTTGTATCGAACAGATACTGTCTCCAGATTTTTAGCGCGAAGACAACAGCTGCTAATTCCATGTCGTGAGTTGGGTATCTCTTCTCGTGTTCTTTCAACTATCGTGATGCATATGCAATGACCTTGCCTCGCTGCATTAGCACACAACCTAATCCCATTTTTGACGCATCACTATATACGACAAAATCTTCTACTCCTTCTGGTAGGGATAAAACCGGTGCAGTGCTTAGTCTCTCATTAAGTGTCTGGAACGCTTTTTCTTGTTTCGTTCCCCAATCAAACATAACTGACTTCTTAGTCAACGTTGTCAAGGGCGTTGCTATTTTGGAGAAATCCTGGATGAACCTTCGGTAATATCCTGCTAGACCTAGAAAACTTCGGATTTCCGATGCTGACTTTGGCGATTCCCAGTTCGTAACTGCATCAATCTTAGTCGGGTCCACCTTGATTCCTTCCTCGTTGACTACGTGACCGAGGAATTGTACCTCATGCAACCAAAACTCACATTTTGAGAACTTGGCGTACAATTGTTCCTTTGCCAGCAGTTCRAGGATCAACCTTAAGTGTTGCTCATGCTCCTCCTTATTTTTAGAATAGATCAATATGTCATCTATAAAGACTATGACAAATTGGTCCAAATACGGTCTACAGACTCGATTCATTAAGTCCATGAATGTCGCAGGTGCGTTTGTCAATCCAAATGGCATTACTACAAATTCGTAATGTCCGTATCGAGTCCTAAAAGCGGTCTTCGACACGTCTTCTTCTCGAACCTTCAACTGATGGTAACCTGATCTCAAATCGATTTTCGAGAAGCAGCTGG